AGAGGGCTGGGGTTGTGGCTCAGAGGTAGAGTGCTTGCCTAGCATGCATAAGGCACTGGGTTCGATCCTCAAAATAAAATATATTGTGTCCACCTATAACTAAAAAATGTACCTTAAAATAAACAGAAAGGTTGTTGGTTTAGTAATTCTAAATCAACTGTGTATATTTCAGAAAACAAGGATTTTCATTGAAAGTGTAAAAATATGAATTGAGAAGATGAATTCAGTAGTATTGGACTAGGATAAAATTTATCAGTATGAATTCAAAACACATATAATTTCCTAGTTCTGTTCACCAAAAGGGCCTAGAAGCTAGAAACCATCATACCCCAAGAGCAATAAACACATCCTTCTCTCAGATCTGAATAATATTCCCCATGAAAGGAACCAGACGGTAGCTAGAAACAGTTGATTCCAAGTCTGGTACAGGAAGAGTACAAGGTAAACTTTGAACATCTTCTCAGCCCTGATAGCTAGGAAATGCTCAGACTGATTGGATCACATCAAAAGGATGCAGGCACCAACTAAAAGGGGTTTCACTCCTACCAGCTAAATCTGGGATAATTTGAACACTGAAAGGAGAAATGGTAGCACTGAATTATAACAGTAAATTTTCTAGAAACCCATGAGTTTGAAGTGATAATTTTAAAAAGGAAAGAAGCTGAGTACAGTGGCATGCACCTGTAGACCCAGCCACTAAGGAGGCTTAAGCACGAAGATCACCTGACCCCAGAAGTTCAAGGCCAGCCTGGGCAACGTAGCAAGACTCTATCTCAAAAATAATAGAATAAAACTTAAAAGGAGAGAATCATCAACAGATGCTGAAAGCACTGGGTGAAAATTCATGGGAAAATGGGATATACACATGGTCTCAAATTATCACCACTTATTTGCATTAATCATAAAGGGGGAAAGGTAGCTTTAGAAGAAATCTGACATATCATCTTAACCAGGAGATCAAATTTATTATCAACACTAAGGGAATGGAATGCTCTTTACAGAGGGCATAAATTCAGGGCCTTGTGTATGCGAAGCAAGCCCAGGGTCAATTTCCAATACTGCAAAAAAAAAAAAAGCTGCAAAAGACCTTGCTCAGCAAACTGGACACATATTACTATAGACAATGATAAATGATAATGGTACTGTGGTTAAGCAGATGAGAGCCTTTATTCTTAGAAAGGGACTTCTGAAGTTCAAAAATTTCACCAACAATTAGTCTGTGTCAGTGGTTGGAAAGGGGAGAGGAAACAAATGTTGCAAAACATTAATGTGCAAATGAGAGTCCACTCCCTCTGTAAGAGCATGATAGCAGAGACGTAAGGCTTTGTGGCCAAATAGGATTCTGTAACATGATTATGTATTCTTTATATTTATCTTTTTTTCAAAAAACACACTTTTGGGGCTGGGGATATAGTTCAGTTAGTAGGTCTTTGCCTCCCATGCACAAGGCCCTGGGTTCAATCTCCATCTCCAAACACACACGCACTTTGGAAACATAAAAACCTTTCCTTAGCTCAATGGCTGTATAAAAACAGATATGATTTGATGATTTGGGGGGGGGCTGTTAATGGAGAATGTTCTAAAATAACCTATGGTGATAGCTGCACAATTCTGTGATGAATTTTATACTTTAAATGAGTGAATTACA